AAGTACAATAAAATATTTAAAAAAAAAAAAAAAAAAGGAATATATATTTTAATTATGCAGCAAAATATTCCAAAAAGTTTTAAAAATCTACCTCACTCTGTTAAAACTAGAAAACTACTTTGGAAAAGAAAAAATGTTTATAATGGTTATAGCAAATACTATAGTATTTTAATTATGCAAGTTCTTTTACTTTCCACAATAAAATACCATACAGAACAAATAAATTTTTCCAAGAGCTCATATCTATGAAGAAAATAAAGGGGTTTGATGGGCCATGTTAAAGTTAAACATCAAAAAAATGAAAATTACAGGTCAATCTTAAGATTTTTTGAGATAAACTTCTAAGGAAAATAGTAAATCAAGAAGTACAGTTAAAAATATGCCATTCTCAGGTGGTTTTTACTCAGGTGGGTGGTTTTAGGAAATTTAAGATTATAATTATCATACTGATAAGATAAACGGCAGAAAATAACATGATCATCTTGGCAGAGGCAAAAGGCAATTGATAAAATTAAAAATCCTTTTTTGATTAAAAAAAACTTAGTAAAATAAAGAACATAATACATTAAAAGCTGCAAAAGTCAGAACCTATATAAGGCAGAAACCTGTTAGAGAAGGAAAACTCAAATATTTTCCACTAAAACGAACAACAGACAAATGGTAAGACTGCACCCTGTCAAAGACAGAAAACTTGCGAGACCCAGAAAAACAAGGCAGTCCTGTCAAGTTCCAGCTCTCACAGCTTTCACTGTATTTTCTTCATTTGATGTTGAAAGAAAATCTATCCTGAAAGTACAATCACAAGCTAAAGCAAAAGGGGCACTATCATTAAAACATGTATTATGTTTACTGCAATCACTATTATTTAACATTATTCTGGAAGTATAGCCAATACAATTAAAATTAAGTAGAAGGTATAAATATTGTGAATTAAATAAAATGATCACTATTTGTTAATGGTATGACTACGTGGGAAAAAACGCACATAAGAATAGACTCAAGGCTTTTAGAAACAGATTTCAGCAAGCTCAATAAGGTGTCTAGTTTCCAAAGAAATATAGCTAAATTGGAAAAAGTTTTATTTTTCTTGAGTAGGTCAAAATTATAAAATTCATCAGTTTGGGGGAGATGTAAAAAATTGCCAAAAACATTTTGAAAAAGAAGGAAGGAATATTTGCCCTACTCAATATCAGACATACTATGATACAGGGGACTAGTCAAATAGCACAACAGACAACAGTAGTATAGAAGCAGAACTACACACGTAGGAAAGTTTAGGATCTCATAAAGGGATGACAGGATGAGACGATGAGTTAACCATTTGGAAAATAAGCTTCCTACTGCACATTATACATTAAAATAGAATCCATACGAATTAAAGATATAAATGTTAAGTAAAAAATACAAGTTTCACAATTATTATAGCTAGATCACTTCAAAAAAAATTTATGTATATATCTATATACACATATATAACCAAAACCAAAAACCAAATCCACTACCGTCAAGTCATTCTGACTCATAGTGACTCTACAGGACGGAGAAAAACTGCCCCAGAGGGTTTCCAAGGAGAGGGCTGGTGGATTCAAACTGCCAACCTTTTGGTTAGCAGCTGAGCTCTTAACCACTAATCCACTGGGGTTCCACACACATATATACATCCATTCAAACATACCTGAGCATAGAAAACAGTTTGAAAGACTTCATGCCATATTAGTAGCATGATTCATCCCCAAAGGATGAGATAACTTAGGATTAAAAAAAAAAAAAATTATTTAATTTTCAAAGTAGAGAGAATAATAAAATGAACTCCCTCATGCTGACCACGTAGGTTCAACACTTTTCATCATTTAGCCAATTTTGTGAAATCTATATCCCTTCACTTCTTTCATGAGTCTCCCTCCAAACACTGGAGTATTTTAAGCATATTCCAAAGACATTTCATCTGTAAATATTTAAGATTCTATTTCAAATAGATAAGGAATATTTTTTCTTAACAATCTCATTAACAACTTAACAAAATTAATATGTTAATTTAATCTAATATCCATCAACATACAAATTTGCAGACTATTTCAAAAAAATGCCTTTTTATGATTGATCTATTCAAATCAGGATCCAAACACGATCCACAAATTGCATCTACTGCATTTTTACGCAAATAATGCGCACTTTCTACATTTGTTTGCCAACCACACCCTCCCCCAATGAGGTATGTTCATAAGATCACTATACTAATTTTTTTACAGAAATACGTAAAAAAAATTGGCACAGTGGCGCTTACGAACACATCTCGTGGAGGGAGGGTGAAGTTGGCAAACAAATGTAAAAGGCATGTGTTATTTGTGTAAAAATATGGTAGTTAATGTATCTCAAGAGTTTCTTTTATCCCTCTCTAAAAGTTTCCCTCCTCTTTTTATTTTTATATCATTTATTTGTTAAAGAAAACATGTCATTTGCTCTCTTGACATATCAACTGAAATTTGGTTAATTGTATCTCCGTGATACCCTATATCTCCTGTAATTTTTTTTGTGATATTCTATATATCCTGTTAGGTCCCTGGGTGGCGCAAATGGTTTGCACTCAATTATTAATGAAAAGGTTGGCAGTTCAAACCCACCCAGTGGTGTCACAGAAGGCAGGCCTGGAAATTGGTTTCCATAAAGATTAGAGCCAAGAAAATCCTAGGGAGCGCAGTTCTACTGTAACGCATGGGCTTGCCATGAGTTGGAATTGACTTCACTTCAACGGGTTTTGTTTTGTTGTGTTGTTTTATCTCCTGTATTTCCTATATAATGGTGATTAGATCTAGAAGTTTGGTCAGATTCAAATTCCCATTTCTCGTAATACGACCTCATAGATGGTGTTTAAATACTCCTAACTGCATCGTATCAGGAGGCATTTAATGTCTGCTTGTTCCTCTTTCACAGCCTGGGTGGCACAGTGGTTAAGAGACTGGCTGCTAACCAAAAGGTTGGCAGTTCGAATCCACCAGCTGCTCCTTGGGAACCCTATGGGGCAGTTCTACTCTGTCCTATAGGGTCACTATAAGTCAGAATTGTCTCAACAACAACAGGTTTGGACTTTTTGGTTCCTCTTTCAGTGATGTTAAGACTGATCAGCTGGTTCAGGTTTAGTAGGCCTGATCCACCCATTGTGAGGTTCCTCATCAACTTTTCACTTAATGATTTTAGCAGCCATCAGTAATCATTGTCTAGATCCATTAATTAATTAGAATTTGCAAAATGGTGGAATTGCTAGATCAAAGGGTAAATTCATGTGTAATTTTGTAAGACATTGCCAAATTCCCCTCCATCATGGTGTACCATTTTTGCATTCCAACCAGCAAGGTATGTCTATTTTTCCACAGCATTGTCAACAAACTTTACTGTCATTTTTTTTTTTTTTCAAGTCTGATAGCTGCAAATGGCATCTCAGTATAGCTTAATCCACATTCTTCTTGTGAAGATGACTGAGTATCTGTTCATGTGTTTCTGGGACATTTGCATTTCTTTTTCTGTAAACTATCTGTATCTCCTGCTCTATTTTTTTTCTCAATTTTTAGAAGCTCATATATTAAGGATATTACCTCTTGGTAAGTTATATAAGTTGAAAACAATTGTTTTCACTTTAATATTTATCTTTTTATTTTGCTTAAGTCATGTATTTTTGCTATGCAGATTAAAATCTTATGTAATCAAATTTTCAATCTCTTCCCTTTTTGCTTCTGGATTTTGAGTCATAGTTAGGAAAGTTTTCTGCTTTCCTGAGTTATAAAGGAATTCACTCATGCACTCCTCTGTTATTTGCATGGCCTAACTAACCACTGTACCACCAGGGCTCCAAATTTTTTAGTTAGATCTATTTTTCATTTTCTATTATATTCACTTCCTTTAAAAAAAAATTTTTTTGTAAAGGTGACAAAATTATCTTAAAATTTATATGGAAAAATACACGTGAAATAACCAGGAAATTAGGAAAAAAAAAAGACTAGTGAGCAAAGCTACTCTACCAGATATCACCGTACTGTTGAGGTAGAAATAATTAAAGCAAAGCAACACAGACATGAGGGCAAGTAGGTCCATGGAGTCGAACAGAAAGCCTAGTGGGAAAAACCCCATATATATAAACATTCTGTGTATGATAAACATAGAATTTCAAATGTGCAAGAAAAGGTTCCATTACTCATAATGGTAGTGAGCAAACAGCTAGATATTTGGGGGAAAATTAACACAGAAAGATTCAGAATGTATTATTTAAAAACAAAATAATAACAGTACCACAACAACGTATAGAATGAAATTCCAATTTTGGGTGGGGGCAGGGGTACAATTTAAATGTACAAATTTCCGGGGGGAAAAGTAGGGAAGAATAAATACTGTTTATCATTGACTGGTAAGATCTGATGAGACTTTGATTTTATAATTTTCAACAATGATCACGTATTACTCATGAAGCTATGTAAAATAAGTCATAGAATAAGTATTTTGCTAAGTCTTCCTTCAGGAAGCACAGCTTCTTGAAATACTTTAAGCTAATTATATTAAATATAAAGTACCCTTATTTCTTAAATTTTTTTTTTCCAAAGGGAAGTTACTTCATTTTCCCTATAGAGTAAAATTCAGTTTGCCCTTTTGAAGTACAAGGACTTTCTAGACTGGGTTTATGTAATATGGTATTTTAAATTTAAAACCAAACTAGGCTTTCTAGATTGTATCTATGATTTTTTAAAATCTCAATGATGTTTAAAAACCTCAATACTCAATATTCTGGTAATACATTTTAATAAAGGATATTATGCATATAAATGCAGTTTTCTCCTTTGGTACAATATCCTTGTAAATAAAATTTGCAGATCTCTTTTCTCTTCTCCAACTCTGCATCATGATCGAATTTACACTGATCTCCCTGGTACAGAAAAGAAGAAAAAAAGAAAAGAAATAAACAAGGAAACCAAGAAAAAAGAAAAACAATTGAATTGAATATTCTTCATGGTGTGTCACAGTGGAACACTGTCATATCTCCAGTCTTTCAATATTGAGTTAATGATTCAAACCATCCCTTAGAATTCTTGCCTAAGACAGTGGATGTGGCTAAGTCGATGTGCAGAGGGGCAGGATGTGAGCTGGTAAAGGGCATGGCCTCAGAAGACGCTGCCTGTGTTCTACCAGCACTCATCATCTCTAGACAACATTCTACGGGAACATTATTTAACCTTGGTGCTACACATAAAATGGGGGTAATAACAGCAACTACTTTGTAAGGTTGCTGCAAGGATTAAATCATTTAATATTAATGATCCACTTAGAACAATAACTGCCACAAAGTCAGTGTTATATATCTGTCAAAGAAAATCTGTTATCAACAAATTTTATTATTGTCCCAGAATATAATAACTGAGTCCCATGTACAGTATTTCCACGCAAAATACATCTTGAAGAACCAGTTTCTTTAAAACTACTAGACATAAAAAATAAAAATCAATCCCCCAAAAAAGATTTTAAATTTTAATAATTACTTTGAAAATTAAAATTATTTGGTACCCCAATAAGTTTACCTTAATACATCTCCCTTCTAGAAAGTATTTGCAGATTTGTTTTCCTTTATGTTCCACTGTGTGCTGATTAATAAATTCCTGAGTCATAACCTTCCATTTTTTCCCTTGTTTACTATTCTGTAAGAAAAAAATTCATTTGAATGCTACATATGAAATATTAATAGGTATTAAAATGTATATTCATATGGATCTGGAAAGTAATATAAGTTGACTATTAAAATCGATCAAGATTAGACATTCTGATCCCATTAATTTATTTGGAGAGAGATAAAACTTTTAGTAATCTGCTTATTGCTATTAGTGATTACAAAGAACCCCACTTCTTTCTATTTTAATTGAGATGCGTAATTACAATCTTTAAAATAAAACTATGAAACGTAACAATAGTACTTAGTTTTAGCAAAAGTATAATAAAATCTGCACTCTCATGTATTGTTAGTAGGTATGTTATAAAAGACTTTAAAATGTTTGTATCTTTTGACACAGAATTTGTACTTTTCAGGATTAATCTAAAGGAATTATCAGGGAGGCACACAAAGATTTATTCAGAAAAATAATTTCTGCAGAATTACTTACGTAGCAAAACAAATATACAAACAAACAAAAAACCTAGAAACATTCTACACATCCAAAAATAAGAGATTGGTCAAATACACTAGGATGTATTTAGGTGGTAGAATATTATGCAGTCATTAAATACCATGTGGTGAAACGACTATTTTGGGACATCAGAAAATGTTAACAATATGTTACTATGTGAAAAAATGATCCCAATTTTCTAATAACAAATAAATGCAAAGAAAAACAGACTGGAAGAACATCCACCACATTTTAATAGTGTATGTCTCTACATGGAGGGACTAGAGAATATTTCTAGGTTATTCTCCACTTTCCCTTTAGGTTGTTATCTAGGTTATTCTCCACGAAGCACAAGCTATGAAAACAGGAAATTGCTTTACAGTAAACACTTAAGGTAACAGATGGAGAGATTTAAATCTAATCCTCAGTGCTCACAGCTGAAATACATAACTATGAGGATTCTGAAAAAAAGTACAAGAATACTGAGAGAACAGGCTCTTGTAAAAATAAAGAATACCCAACTTGCCCCCGGAATAAAACTGCTTAAAATATACTTTGATAGAATCATTTAAAATGTTTTAAATGTATGTAGATTTGATTCACAAACATTTTATATTTCTAGGTTCATTTAGAACTGGTAAATATAAATGACCAGTTCACATATGCCTTCTGCACTGTTGTACTGTCAGAGAAAATAAGCATCATGCCAAATTAAGGTACAAACTTGAGCATGTAACTCTGAAATTAGGCAATCACACACACACACACAAAAAAAAAAATGAAAAAGTCAAGTTGTACCTATAGTTTGCTTTCTCTCTACACTGTTTTCTAATAATTTGCTTCACTGTTTCAAAATAAGATTTTTATTTAAAAAAAAAAAAACAAGTTTATTCAGTTTAAACAAGCAGAAAGTATCTCATTATTGTTAACTATGGGAAATAATGGTTATAACTGAGGGACCCTGGAAAATCTAAAGCAACCGGAACAAATAAATTTTTAGGACAAAATAAAGTACCTAGAAGATCTGAGCTTTTAAATTTGATCCTATAGAGAAACCACAAATGTCCTCTACCCTTAAGATCTCATGAAATGTAAGAACTGGAAGAACCACAGAAGTAATCTAGTTCATCCCTCTCATTGGACAAACGCGGAAACTGAAGATTAAAGAAGTTAGCAACTTCTTTAGCCACATGGTGAGTTAGTAGAGTCAGGATACAATTGTGCCTTCTGGCTCTGTGTTCTTTATACTCTATCATATTACCTCTAATGTACCACTGTGCACGAGAAAGGGGGAGAGGGGAGGGAGAGAGGGAGGGAAAGAAAACCAAACTGCCTACTTGGTCATTTTAAAATTTATTTACTCTAAGAAGATGTATGATATTGATATAAGCCACATGAGCATAAAATATGTTAAAATATATAAGGAAGAGGAAATAAAGGGATCTACCAGGAAAAGAATATACATTCACAGAAAATTTAATAGCTATTATAAAGACTGGAGAAATTTAAGAGTTTTGCGGCCAACAAAAGTTTTCTTGTTCTGTGACACTTGAGTTTTCAAGAAAATTAGTGTGGACATGAGGGTATCCCTGGACTTACTTGGCATTTGAGGGATCTTACCCTCCCTGAAAGGTACTTCAGTGGCCCAAAGGTTTGTGCTTGACTGCTAACCTAAACGTTGGCCATTAAAACCCACCCACTCATACAGTGGAAGAAAAGGCCTGGTGATCTACCTCTGTAAAGATTACAGCCAAGAAGATACTATGGTGCAGTTCTACTCTGTAGCACATGGGGTCACCATGAGTCAGAATCGACTCAATGGCAACAACAACATAGTCTCTGAAAGGCCGAGGGTGGAAACGGATACATGGTGACCACTCTAGTGTGGACCACATGCTCACTCTACTCTGGATGGGCCTCCTCCAGACCACTCCTGAACATGAGCTGCTCTGGCACTCTCCTGGTTTTTTCTAAAATCCTAAGAAGAAATATCTGTCCTGACAGCCAGTAAACTGACATAGTTCATAATGTATTTTAATCATGATCAACAAAAGGAAAAATATTCTGAATCTGATGAACGCAAAAGACAGTTTCATCTGATTTTCTATTACATGATAAAGAATCCTTTAGTTGCAGCTCAGATTTGTAGACATCTAAACTGTTAGTGCTTTAAGAGACCATTTAAGTTAATTTAACTATACTCTCATTTTACAGATCAAGTAAATTGAAACTGAGAGACAAGTAGTAACTTCCTCAAAGTCATGCTTTCTTGGAAGCTATTTTTTCCAGCTATTTTTTCCAGCTAAGTATTGGGTATAGGAGAAGGCTTACTTAGAAAGCATTCATATTAGTATGGTCTAGGGAAGGCAGAACATTCTAGAGGTCTACTGGTGTCTAAGCAGATGGAAAGGCAGAAATTCCAAGTCAATGTTTCTAAAGCTGCTGTTCCATGGAAGGTGAGTGGCTTAGTGAATGTTTATAGGTACGTCGACAAAAAAAGAGTTCATGGACAAGTAAATTTGGAAAATGATGGGATGAACAAAGCAAAACAGGTTTGTTTATGCCTAACCTTCTCTGTGCCCAAGAGCAGATAAGCATGTGCTGGGTTTCACAAATTTACCGGGGCCTGAAATTCATTTTTTAGGTCATGCCTATTAACATCTTCCTAAATAGTATACTAAGGAATACGTATTAAGAAATCTCTGCCTAGAATCTTTAAACTCAAAGACCAGAAAACCAAGAAGTTTCAAATTATAGTATATAGCTATCCCTTAGGTTTCACTCAAGGCTGCAAGTTCTAATAACACATGCTTGCTCTGTATAATTAAATCAAACCCTACTAGAACAGTGGCAGAATACAGGAATTGGACTACTCTACTCCAGAGAGTTGTACCAAGTTTGAAATGTATATGTTCAGAACTCAATTCAATGCAACATATATTTATTCAGTATCTACTACATGCAAGGCACGTAAGTTCATCTTTCCAACCATTTATACCCCCTTTTCTTCTCTTTCAATGTTTTCAACTCTAATAACTAAGCTAATTTACCACCACCTCCCTTCTTGGCCCTGTTATTGACCTGGGGAAGATGACGCCTAGAAAAGGAAAACACAGCCAAGGACTAATACAGCATATATGTTTGCTTTCAAACATATCTATTTTATTTGGAGATAACCTAAATTTACATATATATACTAGTATCGTGACTAATTAAAATAAAAATTTTAATTCTATACTCATTTAATCTGAGCTAGAAATTCTTCTTTCAATGCTCTCCTTGCAACCAAACAGATTAAAAGATGGAAAAGTTCCTCTTTTCCTCAGTACCTCTTGAAAGTCATCCACTCCTGAAAAAACATTAGGACCTTTATTGGATCTTCCCCCATGGTCTTTGCGTTTGACCTTCTTCTGCAAACCACGTCCACAACCAACGTTATAACTTTTAACCCTCTGTTCAATACCTAAAAAAGTTAAAACATACTTGAAATATAGAGAAACAGCACGCCTGTCAATCTATTAGTTTACAAGGAACGGCAGATTTTAAATAGTCTGTAATACACAGTGCATTCCTCTTGTTCCACTAGATTCAATGAAAAAAATTAAATCTTTACATTTCACTTACTAGGTTTTGCTTCTTGTCCCTTTTTAAGGGATGCTAACAGCACAAGGGAAGCAAAAAAAAAAAAAAACAAGGCTATACATGGCTAGAGAAGTCAAATCTCCTAGTTTTATTCTTTTCAATTTTCCTTAGAATAAGATCTCTAACAAGGTCCCAAAGGTTTCCTGTTTTTAACAGAATTAAATATCTTATTTATTTTTAAGGAAGACGTTATTGGTATTTGAGGTTAATTTTTAGCAAACCGAGTTTCTGTTTAACTTTAATATACACATGCATCTCCCAGTAAAAATTATATTCATCTTTAGCTTTTGAAAAATTTCGCATTCAAAAGTATCTAAAAAGATACCAAATTACAAAATTATGTTAGGGCAGTAAGTTACAATTTGTTTTTTCATTTACCAAAGGTATATGGAGCTAGTAAGTTTTCTAATGCCCTTAAAACTTGTAAAACCTTACTGACCCAAAACTTTCCTGGATTACATCATTATGTACAGAAAGGTAAATCTGTACTGCATTCTTTAAAAGCTGTCAATAAAAATCAATCTATATTTTTATTTTAAAATGTTTAAACTGACTTAGCATGGTTGTAACTATATGGAGAAGTATTTGGGGGAAATACCAAAACAACCAAACCTGTTGCCATCGAGTCAATTCCAACTCATAGTGACCCTACAGGACACAGCAGAACTGCCCCCATAGGCTGTAAATCTTTACAGAAGCAGACTGCCACATCTTTCTCCTATGAAGCAGCCGGTGGGCTCAAACTGCCAACCTTTTGGTTAGCAGCCGAGTACTTAACCACTGTGCCACCAGAGCTCCTTTTTGGGGAAACAGGAAAGAGTAAAGTATCTCAAAATAAGAGTAGAAAATTTCACTTATGATGTGAAATTGATTTGATGAGGCTCACTGGTTAGGATCTCATATCACTGTACACTCTCACTGATGAAGAACTGTCCTGGATCATGTCTTTATTAAACAAATAAAAGTAAACTTGATAGCATGCTTCAACTGTAAAATGTTTTATAAAGGAATGAACCTTTAAATAATCTAGAACAGCATCAGCATCACCTAGGACCTTGTTAGAAATGAAAATTATTGGGCCCCACCACGACCAGAATCAGAAACTTTGGGGGTATGTCCAGAAACCTGTGTCTTAACAAGCTCTCCATGTGATTCTCATGCACACTAAAGTTTGAGAACAACTGGACGAGGGAGACAATTGCTTTGATAGCTTATGCTCAACTAATTAAAGATAAATACATAAGAAGAAAGAATTGTTTCAGTTAGAAAGAATGTGAAGAAATAAGATAGCAAAAGTATCAGCAAAGGCAATTGATATGAAGCGGCAACTTACAAAAGAGAAATACAAATAGGCAATAAACATACGAAAAAATGTTTCAAAGTAATTAAACGTTAAAAAATAATATACCAGTTTTCCCCCTCAAATAATAATAAAGCTCTGTGTTGGGGGGATTTGGAGAAACTAGCATTTTCATACACTGGTGGGGGTGCTGTAAATCACCTTTTTGCGTAACAGCTTGGTACATGGATCAAAAAGCTGCAAATGTATGGCTATGTCTTTTGATCCAGTAATTATACTTTTCAAACAAACTGAGGGTAACTTAAATGTCAAATAATTACAACCAACAAGCCCAACAATTTGTTAGACAAATTATGGTATATCTATTGAATCTAATACAATGGCAATATTAGAAACTATTCATTAACTTAAGAATGACTGAGTTATAAGTCAGAATTAAGGGGAAAATAAATTGTAACAGTATATACCGTTTTTTGTTAAAAATAGTGGTCAGAAAAATTCTAGAAGAATATAAACCAAACATATTAATAGTAATTATTTCTGAGTTGTAGGGATTCCAATTATCTTTGTTTTATCTTTGATTTTTGCTTCCCCCACTCCTCCCCCCTTTTCTGCATTGACCCATATATTACTTTCATAATTCAGGGAAAAAAACGAATGTGAGAATAAAATGCAATATGCAATTCTTTAAAGGAACAAACAAGGAAGAGCTTGAAAGGAAAAACCTCAGGTGGGATGCCCTCTCTACAAGCAGGATGATCCCAGACACCACCCCATCTAGACTCCAGGAACAAATTTACTGATTACCATAGCATAACGCACAGATAGATAAACTCATCTTCCCTCAGTTTAGTTAAGACTAGATTCATATTTTTCAAAAGAGTTTTGCTAAGAAATCAAGAAAAAAAGCCATAGAAATAACAGTTAACTCATAACTGTTTCCTTCATTCAAAGATAATTAAATGACAGTTACATAAGAGTGTGGCTGCTCACTACTTCACCTCAGCCTCATCGTGGTCCAGTTTGCTTCAAGTAGACACACTGAGTAGCCAATTCTGAAGGCTGATTTGAGCCTACATAGTCTGTAGTTTCTTCACTATTGCCGCCAGCTAGCATCTTGCCCTGTTCTCTCCAGGGACCAAATGCTTCAATATGGCAGGTGAATAGGTGATCACTCCAGAAATTCCTCGAGATTATGTTCTTATTCCCAATTGTTCCTAGTCCCACGTACATTTGTATAGCAAAGATAATTGCCATATTTGAAACCTAATAAAAGACTGGCTTCCCAGAATTTTTTCCTTATAGATCTAAAATATAAAGTAATACATAGAATAACAGCGACAACTGCAAAAGAAGGGTTATTTTTCAGTATACTGACATCATAGAATAATAAAAAAAAAAACTTGTTGCCGTCGAGTCAATTCCAACTTATAGCAACCCTATAGAATACGGAAGGAAAAAACATAACAGGAAAGTTATATTACAGTTTGATATACTTTTAAAATATCAGTGTATCTTTCTAATTAAAATATTAAGCTATTGTGCAGCTGGAAATATTTGTAGACTTTTGTCCTTGAGGTCTACAAAATAAAGGAAAACAAATTCAGGTATCACAAAAATAAGCTGATTCTGAGAATGGGCTAATAAGTCTCTAAGCTTTTACTCCATAGCTACCTGTTTTACTAAGGTTCTCATACTCTAAAAGGGACTGCCAACTTCAAACTTACCTTGCTGGAATCCTTTCATTCTCTGTTTTTTCCCTGGTTCTTTAGAAAACGATGATCCTAAAGTAGTACTTGAGATTTCTTTAGCTTGTCTGTATTGTTTCAGTTGCTTGACAAAATCTTCCTCTGTTTCCTGACCGTAGTTACCAAAGTTGTCATCACTGTAGGTACTGTATTCATCATATTCTTTATTTTTATATTTTTTGTTATGTTGACCTTTCTGGGATGTCATGTAGCTTCCTGATATATGTCCACTCTAAGTGAAAATGGACAATTATCAGGATTTTTCACTTACATATAGCAGTTGATTAGTAACACAGGGCATCTTTTTCCCCAGAAAGTTGGGAGAAAGAAGGGTGAAAAGACAGTTATTAGTTCTGCTTCTTGATTAGTATTTATCTTAAACACTATTAAAACTAGGCTCAAAAAACTAAATGCTACTCTGACATTATTAAACATTTTAATGTTCATGCTCTAGCTTTTCTTTTCTATGTCCCATGCCAATATCTATACATTAAAAATAAGAATACTTAAAAATCCACCTCATCATACATGAATTCCTTCTGCACAATAATAAAAGATCTTTCTGAAAATAAGGAAAAGATAGTAGAATAGCTTTGGGGGGTGGTGGGTAGAAAACTATATAAGTTCTCCTAACTTTGAAAATTTCAAAATAACACATTTAAGCATATCATGTTTAATAAAAATCTGTATGTGTGGAAAATTTAAAAAAAAAAAAAACAGTTTCTATCTGAAGTCTAATAGAAAAAGTAGAGCTTTCCCTAATAGTGAAAAACATCAGGTGAATAAACCGCTCATTAGGAACTGTTTATTATAATATACATTATTAATTTTATTGCTTCTTTACTAAAGAATGTGAAAACAAAAAATACACGTTAGTCCTAGAAGTTTACTTAATGGATAGCATTCAAGTCTATCTCTATTTACTAAAATATTTTTATGAGTTCTATCGTCGTCTCTGTCATTTCTTTTGTAATAAAGTAAGAAAAAAATTGCACATAATTACAAGTTAAGGATCTAGAACAGCTCAGCCCCATGACTCATTTCAGTTTAGTGCATTTCAAGTGTGACAGAATAATACTGCCCTGGAAAAACACCTCCCTGAGACTGTGTGTTTAATAAAATGCAGAAAGACACTGAGATCTTTATTAATTATAGAGAAAAAATACATACAGTAATCAAGAAAATCAGTTAGCCTATCAACTGTAAATTTTAAAGACACTGTCTCTTTTCTGACTTGTTTTATGCAGAACTTTTTAAAGTTTATAAACTCTTAGCTGTGTCTAGCACTTCAAAAATTCAGGAGGAGATTTTAAAACTGTAGCCAAGACTGTATTTCTGACATTTCTTAAAAGCCACTATGAAAAATAAAACAAAAAAATCGCTTAGATTAATTTAAATATTAACTAAAATAATTAGTTGAATGGTGCTTACATTTCCACTTATAAAAATGTTACTATATTACTGCTTCATGTTATATTTCAATGCTTTATGAGTAAAAATTACTCTGTTAATGGGTAAGTTTAAATTTTTCTCTAGCGATTAGATGCTTGTCATAAAAGTTTTTAATCCTCCAAATTAATTTTTGACAGCCTTCACCTAAAAAACTCCATATTCCTACTTTTTAAAATAGATTTATCCCTAAACTTTCAATGTATTCCCAATAGCCTCCTAACATAGGTAACCATTCCATCCTAGGGATCCTCAGGAAAGAATCTTCTGGAGATTTTGGCATAAGGATCGGAGCGCCCCCGTGCGCTAGGGGCAGGACTGTCCAGGCTGAAAGTGCTTGCTCTCCCGGAAGCACTAAGTGGATGGAGGGTTACAGAGCAGCCCTAGTTCTCTAGGAGAACAACTCCTGTGTTCTGCATGCTCATCATTAGAGTTAACAAAATGTACTCATCAACACGGGTCTAACAAGTATTTTTTTAAAGCCCTATTGAGTGGACATAAAAGAAATAAAAAAGACTATAAATTCTACCAGAAGATATAATTTCTCTGATTGCCTTGCTGAGTGATTATAAGGCTATGTACACTGCTAGAATATCTGTAGGGGGCAGATTTGGATCCTGTAAAACAGAAACTGGCCCCATAGTAATCAAGGGAAAATATGAAATAAGGAAATAGGAGGCCTGAGCAATGATGAGGAAAAGCGAATTATATTAAGTGCTCTAATTTAACTACTGGATGTTAATTCTATATTCTACTTTTGGTCTGGAATTGTATCAGTTATATAATGAATACCTATTATCCAAGAAAATGTAAATTTAAGGATGTAATTGGGGTATTTTCTAATTGTCAGTGAGTACACTCTAAAATATATGTGGAGGAAATGGTACTGAACCTTCTTCTCATAATGGTAGTCTAGGTAATTCAGACTTACCCCTGAAAAAGTAGAAAAGACAGAAAAAACATTTTTAAAAATCCACCTTAAGACATCAGAGAGACAACAAATTAGTGAAGGATTACTGGACCAATATCCACCAAGTAGATGACAATCCCGAGAAGTGAGCAGCATTTGGAGTTGCCTTTACTCTTATTTAGAGTATCAGCACATCATGAAAATCAGCTGAAAAGTTGACTCATCCCTTTAATCTATGGAAACAAAAGGTGGAGTCCAGAGTCTGGTAGGAGTGGAAGCCCTAGTAACCTCTATCCCTTAATTCTGGGGGAATCTCAAGGCATGAATCAGGGGCTGCAGCCCAGTTTTAGGTCCACAATCTAATCTGAGGTGGCCCAGAAAAGTCTCAAATCCTGAAACTGTAATAAAATTTGGTCCCCAGGCATCTGTGGGAGCAAGTGAAGATCCTCTCAAGAGGAAACAAATATCATCTTAGGCCTCAAATTATTTTTACAAAATGTACTATATTTTGCAATACAATACTCAGTGCACATGTGCAGATATACACACATACACACTCAAAATATACATATGAGAAGAAAAGAGTAGGACTGAGAGAGAGAAGAAAAAAAGGAGAGGGAGGGAGAGAGAGAGGGAGGGAGGAAGGAAGGAAGGAAGGAAAAGATAGATACCAGATTGAAACTCAGATCTACAGGAAAGAATGAAGAGCACTGCAAATGAAATGTGGACCAAAGAATTTCTGGAGTTCTTTCAGTGACAGCTTTGAATCAAGAGTTTATAAATCTCATTGCTTGGTATTTTCAAATGCCTTGTTATCTGAAATAGAAATGCCCTTATGAGTATCTTTTTATTCATTGGAAAAGTCCCCAAATGACTTTCGACTATTTCCGAAAAAAAAAAATCCAACTGCAAATGATGAAATTCAGGTACCAGATTAATGCCTGCTGAATTGATCTGATTTAAAAATAGTTCCGGTGAATAGTTATACAAATGTTCGGAGAAATGCCAGTACCATTGACCCCACATTGAATATATACAGATACTAATATTTACTTAACTTGATAAAATTATTAATGAGACTATAATACCTTTTCAATTTTTAAAAGAAGACATTCTAATAAAACCTTATTTATTCAGTGGTCACCTACTGAACAATCTCAAGCATAAAGAAAAAAACAGCAAGTCAGAATTTAGAACTAACGCTAACAAACAGAAATTTGGTTTCTAAATTCACAAGAGATTAGGAACATCAAATTAGTAAAAGGAATAGTCAAACAAACTGGCAGAAGCGCAGTGACAGACTGGCAGAAACCAGAACTCAGAAAATCATTTCAGATAGGCGTATGTTGACCTGAACACTCCCCAGTGCTCTTGAGAGCATTAACATTTTTCTAGCAGAGAAAATAATTAATATTCACAATGAGGACTTTGTTCATACAGTGCAATATATTTAAAGAAAGACATAAAGTGTATCATGTTGTTTTAAAAGTATTTCTCAAAACACTTGAAATAATTTTTGCACCTAAAGAGGTAAATGTCACCTATCTTCAAAATTTGATACTATCTCATTTCCTAACAGTTCTGGATAAATAGTGTTGTTATATATCCTTTGTTTTCAAAGATTTAAAATTTCTAGCATAAGTCTTATAAAACATTATTTTAAAAATACCAGAAAGCAAAGGAATAAAACTGAAAGCTTCAATTTTCTCTTTAAAAAGCATTACCTGAGGAAATGGAATGTTATAATCCCTGTAGAAACCAGCTCCTTTTTGACGGGAACTTTCAGTATGTTCGACATCGGAAGCAAGGCTATAGTCTGAACTATCATCACTAGATGGAGAATTATGCTGAAGGGAAAAACAAATATGTTACGTTTACAGAAGGAAAACCATTTAACTAGTAACTAAATAGGCTTGTTTCTGTCAGAGGTGCCAACTAGATTATAACAGATTATAAAGTTCTTGCTCCAAAGGCCATCATCACACCAACTTCCCTAAGGTTTTCAGGGGAAAAGTGTATCTTCCCCTCTGCTCAAGGACTTGATGTCCTCATTTGACTCACCAATCCTTTGGCGAGAGGACTTCAAACAGAAATATTGTAACCTTATGTTCTAAATAGGAGCTCTGGTGGTGCAGTGGTTAAGCAGTCAGTTGATACTGGAAAGGTCGGCAGTTTGAACCCACAGGCTGGTCCATGGAAGAAAGATGTGGCAGTCTGCTTTCATAAAGATTACAGCCTTGGAAACCCTATGGGGCAGTTCTATTCTATCCTATAGGGTCACCATGAGTTGGAATCGACTTGACAGCAACGGCTTTGATTTTTTTGGTTTTTAGATGCTCTAAATAATCTTAAAGGAAGTAAAAACTGGCTCCTTATCACCAGAAATGATCCTAGAACATGCCTAGAGTATGTATTAGTTTGTTTTTACCTAAAATGGCTTTAGAGATCTTATTTAATCTCATAACCACCCTAAAGCTAAAAGATACCAAAACATTTCAAATTACAATAAGAAATACAATCCACAGAATTGAACAAAAGTGAAATTAAAACCTTAAGGAATTGACAGATTGACAAATATCAAGAGTGAGCTTTTTCAAGTATGAGTATAATTTTCCCAAAAAAAAAAAAAGAAAAATAAGTCATCAAATCTCTTCTATCTGGTTAGAATAATGACCTTCTCAGATTATACACCCTCTTCAAAGAGTTCTTGAAGTTCTTATCAAGTGACGAGACTGGGTCTGCATTTTATCATCCTTGTGTTCCCAGCATCTAGGTCTACTGCAAACTCAGTAAAAATTTGCTGAGCTAAACTGAACTCTGATGCTTACACAAGGGAAGAATCTGTCTTTCTCTACTTTATTCTTAAACTCCCCTTTGTATAGGATGACAAACTGTTTTCCTTCACTTTGTTCTTAAATGCGCTGAGGTTTCGTTTTGTGGTGTTCATTTCTTGTTGATTTTATAGGTGATATAAAGAAATAATTTTATAATTATGTCCCTTTAAAAAGCTGAGTTTGCTCAGTCACTAACAGAAGGCAGCAACAACTCTAAAAAAAACTTTCACTTGAAAAACACTAAAGGAGTAAGATTAGCTCAAGAAGAAACTCAAATGAATACACTGCTTTAGGAAAACTTACCAGAGAAGGATCTGTTTAAGGGAGACTCTTGCCAAAGAATAAGGCTAGGACATACAGACTTTGTGGCTCACATATAGTAATAAGAAGTAATTATTTACCCAAAATTAGCAACTTGACTATATTAAAAATAGCTGAAAATGTAGATAATAATTAAACTTTATTTAGATCTATTTGTCTGGAGCAAAAGATAAAGCAGGAAATCCAAGAATCGGAGAAGGAACTGGTCTACAGGACTAGTTGTCTCCATGAACCTTCTTCTACCTTGAGACAAGAAGAACTAGATGGTGCCTGGCTACCATTACCAAATGGCCTAATCAGGGTTACAACAGATGGATCTCGAGAGAAGGGAAAAAAAATGTGGAACAGAACTTTAAATTCTCAAAGAACCCAGACTTACTGGGCCCTATGAGACTAGACCTATAGGGTCTAGTCTATGAGTCAGAATCGACTCAACGGCCAAAGGGTGTGGTGTGGTGATGAGATTAGAGGAATCCCTGAGACTATTGCCCTGAGATACTCTTTAAACTCTGAACCAAAACTATCCCTGGAAGTCATCTTTTAACTAAATAGCAGGTTAACTCAAAAAGTAAAGAACGTCACCCTTGAGCATTGCGCTCTTTTAAAAAATTAACCGTATGAGACCAAATGGTCAGCAGTTACCGTAAAACACAGGTGAGTAGGTTAGGCAACAGTGAGATGAAATTAATGGGAATGAAACAAGTACAGTGGAAATAATGAGAATGTTGACACATTGTAAAGAATGTAAAAAATGTCGAGAAGTCGAGCCAACATGGTGCTACAGACAGAAGCACCATGCCATCTCTCTGCAGCAAAGATCCAAAAAACTAAGTAAAACAGATACAAATGTCAGTCCTGGAACCCTAAGCATCAAATGAAGGAATAAAGAACTAGATCAAGTACAGAATGGAAGAAGAAACTGACAGAGAACAGAGAAAGAGGAGAGCTACAAAATGGAGGTCCCCTGCCAGCTAACATGGCACAGCTTCACCATCTTGGAGCACAGCCAGCAATGACCCCAAACAAGGAGGATGGAAAGGTAACTTCACAGAGCTCCCAAAAGGAGACAGAGTATTGGGTAACCACAGATATATGCTTTCCAATTTCTCACCCTTCTGCCCTGTATACTGCCTCTGCCACTTTCCAGTGGGCCACAGTCACTTGGCTGGGCAGACACCGGCTTACTGCCACCCCAGGTCTGCTCTGCCCCCACACACCAGCTCCCACTGCCTCATTTCTTTTCTTTTTTTTTTTTTTGCTTTTATTTCTCTCTCTTCTTTCTTGTTTTTCTCCCTCCCACCTAGCTGTGCACATCACATCTTCTCCCTTTCCTTCTGTCTTTCTGCACCACCAGCCGAATGCTGCACCCAAGTGGCACCTGTGCAGACCTCAGGACCTGCAAACCCTGCCCTTGACTGCCCCCCAGCCCTGCCCTGACAACTGCTGTGCCCCCAAGTGGCACCAGCACAGACTCCCGGACCTCATCCTGTGCCGCCACCTGGCTGTGCCCCACGGAGTGCTGCACTTTTAAGCTGGACCATCAGGGACCCCCAAGCCCTGCTCCATGCTGTCCCCCATGCCCAACCCACTGAAGGCTGCACCCTCAAGCGGTACCAGCATGCACTCCTGGACCCCCCCTCCAGGGCTGTCCCGAGCCCACATGCAGGACTAGCGCAGACCTCCGGACTCTCGGATCCCGCCCTGCCATGCTGCCCCCAGACCTGCCCCTCTGGTCCCCCTTTGTGCAACAGACAAACAACCCATCCCCACCCCTCACCTCACTGCAAGACCGGGGCTGCTGCACCATAGCTGAATGACCAGCCCTGCCCACCTGGACAAGGTGGTGAGAGCCATCATGCCCACAGGCGAGCAAGCAACAAAACACACTCAGCTCACCCACCCAGACATAACCAAATAGAACAAAAAAGCAGGACTTAACAAACAAACCTATAATCAATAAATGAAGAAAATAATTGCTGAATGCCACAGAGACAGCAAAAAAAAAAAAAAAAGAAAACCAGGACAGGATGGCTCCAGTAAGCAATCAAAATAAAACACCAAATGACCTTGTAGTAGAAGAAAAGGCACTGAAACTACCTGATAGGGAATTCAAAAGTCTAATATTCAGGGCTCTCCAAGAGATTAGGAAAGAGATCAAGGAAAACAGATACAAAACTAACTAAAATATAGACAAAATCAGGGAAAACACAGACAAAGCAATGGAAGAATTCAGGAAAATAATACAGAAACAAAATGTCAAAACAAATAAACAATTAGAAATCACACAAAAACAGCAATTAGAAATCCAAAAGATAAACAACAAAATTTCTGAAATGGACAACACAATACAAGGTTTTACGAGTAAATTTCAAACAATGAAAGAGAGGATCAGAGAAATTGAAGACAAATCCTTGGATACCCTTGGTTTTAGGGAAAATCAGAAACGAATGAAGAAAACCTAAAAACTACGTGGGATATAATCGAGAGCAAAAATTTACATGTGACTGGAGTTCCAGAACAGGGCGGAAGAATGGAAAACACAGAGAGGATCACTGAAGATTTGCTGACAGCAAACTTCCCTAATATCATGAAAGATGAAAGCTGACCACCCAAGGAACTCAACGTACTCTATATAAGATAGACCCCAAAAGAAAGTCACCACACTCGCCAAAACCAAAGACAAAGAAAGATTCCTGAGAGCAGTTGAAGAAAATCAAAAAGTCATATACAAAGGGGAAACAATAAGACTAAGCTCTGATTACTCAGCAGAAACCATTTAGGCAAGAAGGCAATGGGATTACATACATAAAATCATGAAAGAAAAAAATTGCCAACCAAGAATAATATATCCTGCAAAACTATCACTCAAATATGATGGTGAAATTAGGACATTTTCAGATAAACAGAAATTAAAGGAATATGTAAAAACCAAACCAAACGTACAAGAATTATTAAAGAGAGTCCTTCGGTTAGCGAACAAACAACATAAGACAACAACCTGAATCTAGGACACAGGATGCCATCAGCTGCATACCATCCTAGGTAATGGCTCTAAAGGATAAAACAAAACTAAAAGATTTAAAACAGGGAACGGGAGATGTCAATCTGTAAATGACAACATCAGAACAATAAAAGGGGAGGAATAAATGATGTAGGTATAGAAGTTTCAAGTGGAGAGGAAGAAAGGTGATATCAAGTAATAAAAGGCTGGTTCAAACCTAGGAAGATGGGGTAAATTTCAAGGTGACCACAGGAAAGTTAACAAACCTACTCATCAAAATAAAGAAGGAAAACATAAAATCTCAGTAAACACAAAATCTACAAAAATGAAAGAAACAAAAAGAAATTCCACAAACAAAAGGAACTCAGCACAGGAAAGTAAGAGGAACAAAGAAAATGTCAGCAACACACAAAAAAAGCACTACAAAATGACAGCAATAAACTCACACCTATCGATAATCACACTGAATGTAAATGGCTTAAATGCACCCATAAAGAGACAGTGACAGAATGGATTAAAAAAAAAAAAAAAAAAAAAGGACCCATCAACAGGCTGTCTAAAAGAGACATACCTTAGAAACAAAGACATAAATATATTAAAAACCAAAGGATGGAAAAAAATATATCAAGCGAACAACTACCAAAAAAGAGCAGGAGTGGCAATACTAATCTCAGATAAAATAGACTTTAAG